GATATATGGTGAATAAATTGTAAAAATATAAAACAAAAAAATATAAAAATTATTTGAGATACTTTATAATCGTGTGTCGCACGGTATTTGCTGATTTTTGGTATTTCCTACTTACCGTCGGTCCTATTTTGGTTTTGTGAATGGGTGAGGAACACGCCATCCCGAGAATCTTCCTTGCCTAAAAACAAGTTTCTAGCTCTTATGGCTATACAGAGGATGTGTAGTAGTCAGTCAGTCAGTCAACCTTTATTGGCATAGGTAAAATACAGCATGGATCACATTTTAAAGTGCATATCAAAGTTACGTAAATATAAACAGTGAATCCACTGGGGCTTGGACCTTATATTCTCTTACCTTCATAGCGATAGAAAGAAATCGCGCTACTGAGAAAGTAATGTGAGGGCGAAGATCTGATAAAAGGAAAGATATAAGTCTCTCTTCAGATAGGCTATACTTATTGTGCAGGAGGGGGCTGGTTAGAACATCCCAAATTCTATTATGAAATTCACAGCTGAGCAAGATATGCGTAATCGATTCTGGGTTCCTGCTGTTATATGGGCAGGCCATGATGTGTAATAATTCCCAATAAAATCTCTGAAAATAATCTGGAGCACACTTTTTAGTGGGTGAGAGGGAGCGTAACTCCTCACCCTAACCCACGACTAGTAAAAGAATACATTATTCTAACCAAATGAATCAGTTCAAAATCTAGTTTTTCATGGTAGTTTTCAGTTTACTGTGAAAGAGATTTCTTTTTTAGTGTCAAGTATGAGGCACTTGGAGCTGCGGTGGCTCAAGTGGTTAAGGCGCTGAACTGCAGGCTGTGGAAGGTCGGTAGTTCAGCAGTTCAAGACCCGAGTGTGCCGCAAGACGGAGTGAGCTCCCGTCTCTAGTTCCAGCTCCTGCCAGCCTAGCAGTTCGAAAGCAAGAAATTGCAAGTAGTTAAATAGGGACCACTTCGGTGGGAAGGTCACAGCATTCCGTGCGCCTTGGTGTTTAGTCATGCCGGCCACATGACCACGGAAACGTCTTCGGACAGCGCTGGCTCTTCGGCTTTGAAAAGGAGATGAGCACCGCAACCCTAGAGTTGGATTCGACTGGCTTTCAAGCAAGGGAACCTTTATCTTTACCTTGTGAGCTACTGGCATTAAAGTTGAGAGCAAGCCATTTGGCTCCTGCATTAATTTGTTTGCTCTGGAGCCATCCTTCCTGACCTGAGACAAAAATGTGTGAGCCGGAGGATAAAAAACTGTGAGCTAGCTCACACTAACTCAGCTTAGAGGGAACACTGCTTAAGACTTGTTTTCTTTTTGTTCTTAAAAACACTTCCATCAAAACTGACCCCCAAGTAGACATTAAAAGGGAAAGAAATAATGTAGCCAGCCGTGACTGAAACCATGTGTTCTGTGTACACATAATATTAGTCCTGATCTGCCTTCTTAAAACTTTACAAGAGAAATAAGATCTAGCTATTTTAAAGAGTGTTTTCTCGGATTGTTTGCGTATCAAACTGTGGCAAGCAGATCACTGTAGTCCGTGGACTATTTGCCCGTCAGTCATTGATGCAAGGAATGGTTGTGGACTGCCTCTCCTTGAGAAGGCTTAGTGGGTCTATGAGATGCTTCTGTTCATGTCTGTAATGTAGCAGTGGCTGTTCCAGATAACAATTGTCTTGCTTGTCATTCTCTCCTTCAGATTGCTTGAATGGCTGCCAGATGTTCCAGAAGACATTAGGTGGATGAAAGAGCAGACAAGGAAAGTTTGTCAGTATCTCATGAGAAAAGCCAAGAAGAAGCTAGGAAGTCATCTCTCAGCCC